GTTGATCGTGGCCTGCGGGGCGGTTTCAGACGCCTCCAAGGTCACTCCTCCGTTCGCCGTCTCGAGTCTTCGAGCCACCATATCCAGATGTGCCGGCACGGGACAGCACGTCTCGCCGTTCGGTAGAAACGCCACGCCCGCGTCCACTGCGCACGGGAAGTGGAAGTGTCGAGTGCACCGTGAGATCGCGCAGCCAATCGTCGCCCCCATGAGGCCACACGCGTCGCAACGTATCAACCGACTGCGGTGCTTGGCCTTACTGCACTTGTGCAACACGCCACACACGTCCTCGTATACTTCCATCGACCACATGGCGCAGTTGACGTGCACCCACGTCTCCGCTTCCGTGTACAACAAGCGTCCACACGCGGAATTATCGCCAATCATGAAGCATAGCGCGCAGAACCGCGTGTCTTCGAACGCTGCCGCACTATCGTCGTCACTCGTCGGCCAGCCATGTAGCGGCGGCGCCGTAGTCATGCAAGCCACTCTTCGCGAACTCGAGGACGACGACGACGCCACCAGCGACACAGCAGCCTCTTGCTCCTCCGCGTGCGGCGTCTCCGAGTCGTTTTCTTTGCTCTCTTCTTCGTCCTGTTCCGCCGCGCTGGTGGCATCTCCGAGGCCGAATACCGTGAGCTCGGACGAGGGTTCATGCACGAGATGTCTCTTGTCTACTCTGCGATCATACTGCTCCTTGATAGTCGCGATCTCGGCTTCCAGCTTCGCTCTCGGCTCCTGTGCATCACCATCGCCACTTCGCAGCCGCTTGAGCAATGCTTCCTCCAGTTTTCGAAGCTCCGCGCCGCCCTCATCGCTAGATAGCAAGTGGATCACAACTTCTGGTAGCGGTCTCCACCCGTACAGCAGATGCACACACGCCAACAAGGCCGCACAGCTCGCAGCTTCCGACACGATCATACAGATCGCACTCGCATCCTTCTGCGTACTCAGCCCCACCGCTTGCTTCGAATAAAAGCTCTGCGTCTTGCGTTCACGACGTCGAGCAGCGGCACGGGGCCCACGCATGTACCTTTTGAATCGCATATACCGGTTCGCTTTCCGCAGCAGCCACTCGGGGATAACTACGCCCGTGTCATCCAGCTCTTGCTGCTTCGTCAACCGGTACCAATCGCTCTGGAAGTTGAGACTTCGGTACGCAAACGTGCGCAGACATTCCTCACCCAGACGCAAGATATACAGGTACACCGGCGTGTTGTCTGCCAGACGCTTCCAGCGCTCCACTTGCTCCATCTGCATCAGCGTCTCCTTCCAGCTCGACTCGCATTGTACACGTTTACGCTGGATGTCCGCAATAAGCGCCTGGCAACGCCATCCTTCACCGTCCGAGACTTTCGACGTGACATGTTGACGTTCTTGAGGACGACACGCAGCACAGACGTACACGGCGTTCGGGTCGCTCACGAGCGTCTGGTACCGCTTGGGCTCTTTCTTCA